ATTTATATTATATTTTTAAATGTTATTTTATATCAACTTTTATTTTTATATTTTCAGTTTTCAATATAATTTTAGTTTACGTTTTAGTAATTTTTGTACTTGCGCTTAAACTTATTCTTCTCGTTTTTATTTACATTTCGCAAGTTTAAGTTTTTCATCTGATATTTATATTTTATTTTATTTTGATTTTATTTCATTTACCTTTTTTATTTTTTGTAATATTTTTGTTAACAATAACAACTGCCTGGTGCAATGTGCCATTTTTGAATCTTAATGCAAAAACAAATGAGATTTCAGAGCTTCAGAAGAAAAGAAAATTATTAGCAAATGAAGGGTTGATTTTCCTTCTGTTCATCACATAAATCTATCATATGACTTCAGAAATATCGGTATATACCATAAAAGTCATACGTACTACTGTTATGGTTTTTACAAAGACAAAATTTCTCTTTTCGTGGTTTTTGTGAAACAAAATAACAGCATGCATGTTTGAAATGTCATGCCGGTGAGTTATTGACTCTTTGAAACGAATCTCTTACATGCACGATTTGCTCCTGAGTGTCGAACTCTTTGCTGCAGCTCTCCCAGTGACAGTTGGTCTCGTAAATGGCCTCTGGTTCAGGTTTCTCCTCCTTATCAAGATCATCTCTGCCTTCCAGTAAACCCAGAAGAGGATCCTGCAGAACACAGCGCAGGAGCTCATGTCAGAACAACGTAAACATGGACCCATTTTACTGCAACCGAAATCTGGAGGATGTGAATCCATTACTCAAGCATTAGACAATGTTCTGAACTTTACCTGGGTTCCTGTTGAGGATGGACTCGCCACGTCTCCCTCCGAATGCTCCTCCAGGCTCTTGATGTTAATGCTGTTCATCACGCTGCCCAGAACAGGCTCTGTCTTCAGCTGGAGACACACACAGCGGGGTCATTATAATTAACTAAAACTAAAAATATTAAAACATTTTGTTAATTGAAATAAAGATAAAATAAAATAAATATTAGATGAAAAACTTATTTCTAATTTTCATTTAAATTAGGATGAAGCACTAAAATGACTAACTGAAAAAAAATGATAAAATTGCTAAAACGGAAATAAGAACAAACCTAAATAGTAATGTAAAAAAAAAGCAAAACCACATAACAAAATTACCAATTTGCATTTTAAGTTATTAAATACAATTTTTTTTTTTTTCTTTTACAAAATAACTAAATGAATGACTAAATAAATAAATAAAAACTAAAACTGAAAAAAAAATAATTAAAACTAATTAGTGATATTTAAAAATAAAGACTAATGAAAATGATAAAAGCACAGCAAAATTGTTACAATTATAAATAAAAACTAAAACTGAAAAAAAATAAAATAAAATCAAACCAAAAAAGTAATATTAAAAAAATAATAAAATAATCTGGCAAAATCACACATTACAAATTGTCAAAAACTAAAATTACTAACTGGAAAAAAATTAAAAACTACATTTGAACTAAAACTGAAATAAAAATAAATCAAACATAATAGGATAAAAAAAAAAAAAAAGAATAAAAATTTTATTTTTGTTCAAGCACTAAAATTACTAACTGGGAAAAAAACCTAAATATGAAGCTAAAACTGAAATAAACATAAATCAAACCTAAATAGGATTTTAAATAGAAACTAATAAAAATGGCAAAAACAAAGTTTCTAATTTTCCTTTAGTTTAAGATGAAGCACTGAAATTACTAACTAGAAAAAAACAACTAAATTTGACCTAAAACTGAAATAAACATAAATCAAACCTAAATAGTAGGATAAAAAAACGAATAAAAATGACAAAAGCACATAATGCTAAATATTTTTAGTAAGTTTAAGCTGAAGCACTAAAATGACTCATTGGAAATAAAATAAATAAAAACTAAAAATGACAAAAGCGCATAACAAAATTACTAAGCACTAAAATTACTAACTGAAAATACAATAAATAAAGACTAAAACTGAACTAACACTGAAATAAAAAGTTAAACCTAAGAGTTCGAACCCACTTCAAAAGCACATAATGCTAAATATTTTAGTTAAGTTTAAGCTGAAGCACTAAAATGACTCATTGGAAATAAAATAAATAAAAACTAAAAATGACAAAAGCGCATAACAAAATTACTAAGCACTAAAATTACTAACTGAAAATACAATAAATAAAGACTAAAACTGAACTAACACTGAAATAAAAAGTTAAACCTAAGAGTTCGAACCCACTTTTTTGCAAAAACATTTTTTCTTCCTTTTTAAATCTCATATCACATCGGAAAGGCATTTAATTTCAATACAAATTAAGAAAATAATTAAAAAGTTGAAAATAAAGTATGGGGTAGGGTTAGGGAGGGCTTTATTGTCCCAATGCATCCATTTAATAATCTGAATTAAAATTATAATTTACACTCAATACGTTATTATTACGTACTGAGGTGCAGATAATTGCCACTATTTGCAATAAGTAGTATATATAGCAGAAAATCTTGCAATTTGCACTTAGTGTAAATAGCATCTATTGGCAAAATAGCCACTGCCAATTTAAAATATTAAGAAAAACTATAATAATACTAAATGTGTGTGTGGACTCACGTGTGTGTGTTTGGCCGGAGCGTGGAGTCTGGGGCATGATGCAGCGAGAGAGCCATACATGTTCCCCTGCGGTCTGCAAGAGTAGTTCATGGAGCTGGAGAAACCCAACGACGGACTGAAAACAGAAACAACCCACATTAATGGATCAGAGTCAGCTGCGAGCGCGAGGGATATCCAGGGTTCCTGCGCGGTCTGGAAAAGTGTGGGAAAATATTTGCATTTCCAGACTTTTGCCCCCATTTAGTTTTTTATAACAGAAAATTAAGAATTTAATGAAAATAAGTTTATCATACAAGAAGTGTGGTTTCATGGCAGCTGTTTAGTGAACGTCAAACACGACTGAATGAATTCAAGGTGCACTTTTTAATGTGTTTTGCTTTTTGGGTTTCTTCTCATGATATTCTTAGCACTGTATGACATAACCTCGAGGACCTTTGCAAAAATAAAAAATATACAGACTTATGTGCGCATGAGAAACCATTAAACTTAGCATATTGTAGCGTCTGGACCAATCAAACACACAATATATATTTTGTTAGCTATATTTAACAAATACTCTGTAACACCCCTCAGTTAACAAGCCATATGAGGACCTATGGACCCTTCCCCCGAAATGCGTAACACCTCAGGAAAGCAGAACAGGCCTCTGGTTCCATGGCAACCAACGCTGATATCACTGGGTTTATTGCCTAGAGGAATGCGAAGCAGGGAAAATCGATTAATTATTCATATTTCCCCGTGAGCTGATTCGCTACAATATGCACACTGAGCCACCTGTTGTGCCATCAGTCCATGCGTTAAAGAGACCTAAGGCCTTGAAATATGGCATACTGCCCTAACAAAAGCCACATTTTGAACACCTTTTTTTTTTACAGACCCTTGAACTTTGCAAATAGGACAATGCACAAATCTGTATCATGCCATCAGCCCATTTCATGGTTTTTCTGCTGCTAAATTGGACATTATGCCTCGATATTAGAGGTAGTACCATAAGGAAAGCCACATTTTGAGCAAGTAGATCTCTTATTAATTCATGTGCATCCATGCTCTCACTGTATTCATAGTAAGACGGCAGTGATGCACGAAGGAAATCGGTTATATAAAACTAGAAATTGTAATGCGCAAGCACGAGAAAAATTCCCAAGCACATATGAATAGTTTCTCGAGGGCACAAAAAAAAGAAAAAAGCTTCTTGTGTGCATTTATTTTTTATTCATTTTTTATTTTTAAAAATAAAAATATTTACAGACAATAATATTTGTGACACTGGAGCACAAAATTGACCCTTATGACTGGTTTTGTGCTCCAGGGTCACATATACCAAATATAAAGCTGAGAATAGTGCTGTATGAACCATTTGTTTTAAATACAGTCCGAAGATCTGCTGAGAGGTTTGGAAATTTGAGTCTGGAAAAGTATGGAATTTTGAAACGGAAAATGTGTAGAACCCTGGGAATATGAGTGTGTGAATGAAGTGTTAATGATGAATGTCCACCTCATGCCTCCCACAGACAGATGCCCGTATGAGCTGGCAGCGTTCGGCCCGCAGCGCGAGTTCACAAACGCCACCAGAGAGTTGGGCGAGGTGCGGATGACCGTCTGCAGGTCCACGCTGGCGTCAGACAGCGGCGAGATGGACAGAGCACGCTTCTTACTCAGCTTCAGCATGGAGCGAGGCGTCGAGAAACAAGACGCTGAGAGACCAGAGAGAGAGAGAGACCAGATAAAGACCACATTTAACATTTCTTTTTAAAGATTTATTTTTGGCGTTAACATTTAACTTATGTGATTCTTGAGCACAAAAGCAGTGTTAAGTCGCTGGGGTATATTTGAAGCAATAGCCAACAATACATTGTATGGGTCAAAATTATCCATTTTTCTTTTATGCCAAAAATCATTAGGATATTAAGTAAAGATCATGTTCCATGAAGATATTTTGTAAATTTCCTACCGTAAATATATCAAAACTTAATGTTTGATTAGTAATATGCATTGCTAAGAACTTCATTTGGACAACTTTAAAGATGATTTTCTCAATATTTAGATTTTTTTGCACCCTCAGATTCCAGATTTTCAAATAGTTGTATCTCAGCCAAATATTGTCCTATCCTAACAAACCATACATCAATGGAAAGCTTATTTATTCAGCTTTCAGATGATGCATAAATCTCAATTTCAAAACATTTACACTTAAGAGGTTCTGTTAGTTAGCATGCATTAGATACCATCAACTAACGCTGAGCAATTTTATTGCATTTTAAATTAAAGTAGTCAATGTATTGTGAATATACATTAATTAACAACGGGCAATAGAATATGTATCAAATTTATTTAGAATATTTATAAAACCCTAAACATTTAGATAAGGGGTTTCCAATCAGGGTTTGTGAGTTTATGAAAAACTAATCATTAATTAAATCATAAAAATATAAAATTAAAATGAATAGACAACCAAAATTAAACTCTTACATTTTTCAAATTTAGTTTGGATGAAATTAACCATAAAAATGTAAAATTAAAACATAAATAATAAAAAAATAAATAAAAACAACCAAAATTAACCAATTACACTTTTAAAATTTCAAATTGGATACATTTATTTTTGTTAATGCAAGATTTGTAGAATTGGAATTGTGAGTTGTTTAAAAGCTAACAATAAAAAAAAAAAGATTAAAAATAATAAAATTAAAATAAATAAAATAAATAAACTGTAATAAATAAATTAACTTTAATGCAGGGTTTGTGAGCTGATTAAAAGCTAATAATCTAAATAAATAAATATATTAAAATTCAAAACAAATCAAAATAGACAAAAAAAAAACTTTTTAGTTCATTAAATATTTTATTATTTACCTGCATGTCACATTATTATTATTATTAAAGTACCTGCCAAAAGTTTGGAAACATTACAATTATTAATGATTTTGAAATAAATATCTTCTGCTCATCAAGGCTGAATTTATTTGATCAAAATAAAGTAGAAAAAACACCAATATTGTCAAATATTATTACAAATTAAAAAAAAAAAGTTTTCAATTTTAATATAATATAAAATGTAATGTTATTCCTGTGAGGCAAAGCAGAATTTTCTTCATCATTACTCCAGTTTTCAGTGTCACATGATCTTTTAGAAATCGTTACGATTTATTTGACTCTCAAGAAACATTTCTGATTATTATCAATGTTGAAAACAATTTTGCTGCTTCCTATTTTGTGTGGAAATGGTGATACACTTTATTTTTCAGGATTTTTTTAAAAATAGAAAGTTTAATGAACAGTATTTATTTGCATTTATCAAATACATTAATTAAATTTGTTAAAATGACTAACTGAAAAAAAAAATTATAAAATTGCTAAAACAGAAATAAAATCAAACCTAAATATTAATGTAAAAAAAAAGCAAATCCACATAACAAAATGATCAATTACCATTTTAAGTTATTAAATACAAAATATTTTTTTATTTTTTACAAAATAAATAACGAACTAAATGACTAAATAAATAAATAAAAACTAAAATTGAACTAAAACTGAAAAAAATAAAATAAAATCAAACCCAAATAGTAATATATATATAAAAAATAATAATAATAATCTGGCAAAATCACACATTACAAATTGTCATTCAATTGTTAAAAACTAAAATTACTAACTGGAAAAAAATTTAAAACTACATTTGAACTAAAACTGAAATAAAAATAAATCAAACATAAATAGTAGTATTAAAAAAAAGAATAAAAATATAAAAATATAATAGTACTTTTTTCATTTATTTTAAATTAAGCACTAAGATTACTAACTGGGAAAAAACCTAAATATGAGCTAAAACCGAAATAAACATATATCAAACCTAAATAGGATTTTAAATAGAAACTAATAAAAATGGCAAAAACAAAGTTTCTAATTTTTCTTTAGTTTAGGATGAAGCACTGAACTTACTAACTGGAAAAAACTAATTTTAACTACAACTGAAATAAAAATAAATCAAACCTAAATAGTAGGATAAAAAAAACTAATAAAAATGACAAAAGCACATAAAGTTACATATTTTTGTTAAGTTTAAGTTGAAGCACTAAAATTACTATAATAATCTATAAAAACTAAAAATGACAAAAGCACATAACAAAATGACTAAGCACTAAAATTACTAACTGAAAATACAATAAATAAAGACTAAAACTGAACTATCACTGAAATAAAAAGTTAAACCTAAGTAGTGGTATATCAATAAAAAAAATCAGAAGTGCGTAACAAATGACTAAAAATGTAACTAAAATTAAAATGAAAACAAAGTATAAAAACAGCTAATTTAAAACAAAGTGTCTGTTTACACTAAGTGCAAATAATGTATTATTATATATATATAATGTATTTATTAAATATAAATAATTTTAAATGTCTTCACTCACTTTTTATCACTTTCATACATGATGAATAAAATTATAAATTTTAAATCTTATTCAAATGTTTGAGTGGTATCATCGTTTCCACAAAAATATTAAGCAGCAAAACTGTTTTCAGCATTGATGATAATCAGAAATGTTTATTGAGCAGCAAATCAGCATATTATTATGATTTCTGAAGATCATGTGACACTGAAACAGATTTATAAAGGTTTCTCCTAAAATAAAGTTGTCATGTTTTAGAAATGCTAAACGGGTCGGATCATGTTGAAGTCGAGTGAAGGGTTTACAGTGACGGACTGTGATGGAGTTTGTCGTCTCACCGTCTCCTGATGCCATGTGTTCAGATCCCGGCTGGTTATGCGTGAGGTTGTGATGAGATCCCATCATGCTCTGGTTACAGTAGGGGGCGCCGCTGACACCTAAAACAACAACAACAACAACACTGTTATTGCTTTTAACACTAGTGTTCATTACGTCAACGAAAACTATGACGAAAAATATCGACAAGCTTTTTTCCCGTGACTAAGACAAGACGACAATAAGGTCAATAAACGATAACTATGACCAGTGTTGGGGAAAGTTACTTTTAAAAGTAATGTGTTACAATGTTGCGTTACTCCATAAAAAGTAACTAATTACGTTACTTAGTTACTTTTTATGGAAAGTAATGTGACCCACGACACTGACTATGACTATATCAACATGCAATTTCGTTGATGAAAAAAGACGAGACTAAAATGCATAAAAAAAATGTAAACTTTACCAAAAACCTCTTATTTTCGTCAAAAAAAAAAAGCAAAAAAAAAAACTGCTCAACACTCCTCTACTACACGAGCTTTCATGAGTGCGGTTGCCAGATACCGTTTAAATCCCCGAATCAGAGCTTCGCTGTTACAAGGATACATTTTCTGCTCTGTGTTTCGCTTATTTTATGCAATATGGCAACCATGCGCACGCGCTCACTCCTCATTGCAGAGTTTAGCGATCTAAATAAAATTGTCACTAAGCCAGTCTGTGTTCTATCATCTCGACTGTATTGTTTGAGATTGTTGTTTCTGAATAAATGCACTTACTCAACCGCTGTTGTTTTAATAGAGAAATAGGTTATTGCAATTTGGAATTATTGTGGAATTACTAGGAATTTTACTGTTAATATTTTTTGTTTGTTTTACCAGTTTTCACAATGTAGACAGAGAGAGTGCATAAGTCTTTGATATTAATTTATATAATAAATAGCCTATAATAAATCAGTACGCTAGATGAGGTAAAATACACCATGTATGAGTCCCACATTGATTTGTGTTACCTGAAATTTTTATATTATAATCTTTACGATTATAATTTTGAGCAAAAATAATTTTTTTATCAGTTTAACCATTATACAGCATGATGAAAATGTGACTAAGATTTCATCGACTACAGCTAGATTAAAATGCTCAGACATTTCGTTGACTTAAACTTGACTAAACAAAAACAGGACAAAGTTGACTAAATATAATAATGTACATTTGAGTAAGACTAAGACTAAATTAAAAATGGCTGCCAAAAATAATACTGCTGTACGGTTAATTAATAATAATCTTATTGCTAAAATGACTTTTTTCTTTGACTAAAACTATACTAAAATGTTGAGACTTTTACCCCCGGTTTCATAGACAAGGCTTAAGCCTAGTCCTAGACTAAAATGCATGTCTGGGCTATTTCAACTGAAAGAAACTTGCACTTATTGATCTTAAAATATGTCAGATTCATTGTTTTGTCTCAAGATGCACGCTAGTAATGTTTTTATCTATGTCATATTTATAAAAGCTACTTAAATGTCCTAACTGAACTATGGCCAAATACTGGCTTAACCTAAGCCCTGTCTGTGAAACCGGGCCTTAGTCGACTAAAACTAAATAGGATAAGGTTGACTAAAACTAGCAAGGACATTTAACACGGGACTAAGACTAAGAGTAAAATTGAAAATAGCTGACAAAATTAATACTTTATAAAGCGGATAGTTCCGGTGCTTGATTCTGATTGGCTGAGCCGCGTTCGAAGCTGTTGTAAATGACTCTACAAAGTAACATACACCTTTGTTTACGTTTGTGTGTTGCTCGGCAACCACTTTGTTGCAACCACAACTGTTTCTGAGGAGCTACATTGTTTGGTGGAAGAATACTGTTTTTATTAATATCATTACACTTTATTTGCTCTGTTTTATTCTGTGAAACCTTACTATGTATATGGAATAACCGTTTTATAAAAGCAATAACCCCCGTGAAGCCGTGGTTTACAGTGAATTTATAACAGCTAACTCCGCTTCACGTCGTACCTAACAACGCCCCTTAGCTGTTATAAATTCACTGTAAACCACGGCTTCTCAGGGGTTATTGCATTAATTTAACACACACTTCATTTCCTCAGACTCTCAGAATTCAGACTCAGTTAATGTGAGACTCCTCATCTGCGTCTGATGAGTGAATGATAATGACGAGCGCTCACTCTCAGGCGGAGGCATCCCGCGGTGTCCCATCATGCCATGCGGCGGCCGCATGTAGGGGTCCATACAGGCTCCTGGGGTCATGGAGGGGTTAAACATCTCTCTGCTGTCGGGTGGCACCTCGCTGTAGAGCGATCGCACTGACCGAGCCAGTCTGCACACACAAACACATGCACTATTAATTATTATACAGATTTTTTTTTTTTTTAATTATACATACACACATACTTCAATTAATTGTTATATATACAAAATAAAATATATTAATACAAATAAATACATGCATATAGTGAAAGTGACGTGACATGTGGCCAAGTATGGTAACCCATACCCGGAATTAGTGCTCTGCATTTATCCCATCCAAATGCACACGCACACACAGAGCAGTGAACACACACACACACACACACAGCAAATTATTATTTTACTTACACTAAGTTAATTATTTAATAATCAATATTGAATAATTAAATTATTATACTTATATATATACAGTGGGTACGGAAAGTATTCAGACCCCCTTAAATTTTTCACTCTTTGTTATATTGCAGCCATTTGCTAAAATCATTTAAGTTAATTTTTTTTCCTAATCATACTTTCCGTACCCACTGTATATATATGTGTAAATAATATATACATGTCTATTTTATATTAAAAATTACAGTATATAAAGAGAGTAGAAGAAAAATTATAAGTATGTTTAATTCATATAGACTTAAAGTACATCTAAATTAAAGTACATCTAAAATGTATTTTTTTAAATACACACATATACAGAAGTAAATATAGAAATAGGGCTAATACATACATACATAGATGGATACAATATATATTTTATAAAAACATCTATATCTCTTATCTTTTAAATTAAAAAAGTATAAGTATGCATATGCTTTAATTAGTACATGTATAATATAAATAAATTATAGTAATATAATCAATATATAATATAATATAATATAATATAAAAGCGTCTGCTAAATGACTAAATGTAAGTGTCACTATATGAGCACTAGTACTAAAGATAATTGACTTGGTACTAAATAATGTGGAGAACATTAGTGAGGGTTTATTGTGATTCCTCCATAGGGCCACTAAGAGGCGCCACTTCCTTCAGCTTTTCTTCAGAGTACCACCAAGGAAAGACTAGAAACACATCATTGGGAATCCCCAACATTCCTCCACTTTCCTCTTTCTCCACCTTCCCATATTGATCCGCTTTTCCCATCTCTTCTGTCTGTCTGTCTGTGGTGATGAGATGTAGAGTGGTGTTCAGTGACGGTGGTCTCTGTAATTCCACTGAACGCTGTGTGTGTGAGTGAGTGTGTGTGTGTGTGTGTGTGTGAGTGAGTTTGTGAGCGTGTGTTTGTGTGTGTGTGTGCGTGTGGGTGAGTGTGTGTGTGTG